AGTATTCCAGGTGCTTTGGGATCGTTTGCTGGAGGGTGTAAATCCTCTGTTTGGGGTGTGCTCAGCTGCAGACCCCCCCAGACCCGGCGCAGCGCCCGACCTCGGCTCCGAGGCGACCCGGGAGAGATTTTCAATGCGCCGTCTAACTCCTCTCCTTCTGTTTCTCTTGCAGGGCTCAGCTCCCATCCTGGTAGTCATGGTGATCTTACTAAATATTGGAGTCGCCATTTTGTTTATTAACTTTTTCATCTAATTCAAGACTGTCTTGTTTGCAAAAATAACAGTTACATGTATGAATGGTGGGAAAAAAAGAAACCCAAACAACAACAACAAAAAAAGGGAAAAAAATCGTAACTCAAACTGTCCTCCGACAATTTCCAAGTCTTTTCACAGAAGAACAACAAACGATCGAGTCTCACTCACAGTTTGCCTTTTTTCCTGGGTAATGTTTTTTGGATTTTAGCCAAAATTCTTTGCTTGTATAACACTATGCTGTGTGGCATGGCAAAATGCTATCAACACTCTGCCCCCCCAACACTGGAACGGATGAGAAGGAATCCCAACAAAATAAAACCTCATTTCCCTTCCCCTTACCCCAAAAAAATATAACAACAGGAATGAACCCCAAAGTGGAGACTAGAGGAAGGGACCGTGGGGAGATTTTCTTCGAAGTATGTACGGGTCCTGGGATGCTCCAGGCTGAGTTTCCCAGGGAAATCCACAACAGCTTTAATGGGAGAAAAAAAGCAAAACCAGGCGTTTCGTCCTTCTCCCTTCGCAAATGGAGAAACGTTGCTGGAAGGAGAAGGAGCACGGGGAAGGCGTGAACCCGGTCTGGATGTGAGAGATGGGAGAAGGGCAACGGGCCCCGTTTTGTTATTTGTTTTTTTAAACGAAGCAGCAATTGGTGTTTCGCTAAATTTCTTGGGGCAGGGCGGGAACAGGGAACCCGAGGTGTGAGCTGCAGCCCCACCACCCTCCTGCCGTCACTCCTCCTCCCCAGGCTGCTCCCCCCCACCACGGCGAGGCTGGAAAACCACCCAGTTCACAGCCAATTTCTTCCCCTGGGTAAAAATGGGTACCGGGATTCCCCCCCAAAAAATGTGCAGGCACCTCCAGCACCATGACCTGAGCAGCTGCTGGTGACGGTGCCGCACTCACCAAGCCTTACCTGAGCATCCCATCCCAAACACAGAGATAGCGGGGAGCAGACTGGTGGGGAGGGACTGGGGAGAAAGGGCTCGATTCTGACCCACTTAGGATATAATAAAATGAAATAAAGCAAAATAAGATAAAATTGTTATTTCCAAGGCATCTGGGGAGGAGCACTGGAGCATGTCCCAGAGAGGAGGGAGAGGGTGGTGGGTTTGTCTCTTACATCTTGCTGTGGACTGTTTCAGACATCATGCTTGGGCTCTGAGCATGTAGTATTTTGCACTTTGTAATGCAGGATGTATAGTCCAGCTTCCAACATGTCCCTGAAAAAAAAAAAAAAAAAAAAAAAGAAAAACAACAAACCAAACATCATTGGCAATGGCAGCCTCTAAGGATGTATTCTTTTCTTTTTTTTTTTTTCTATGTCACTTGATTTGTTCATTTATACATCTTTGTAATATGCCTGCCTTGATTTTCTCCCCTCCCCTCTCCCCACCGAGAATATGCATACTCATTAAAGATGCCGTATCCCTGTTCTGAGCTGTCATGGTCCCAATCACGAGAGCGTGCTCTTAGCTCGATTGCTTGGAGATGGCTGATGTCCCCTCGCTTTCCAAAAACGACTGTACTGGTTCCTCCCCTCCCCACGCCGTCCTTCCCCGCCTCCGAGGTCGCCTTTGCCGGTGATCCACCGCCACCAGGTACGGTGCAAACGGCTCGGTTGGGATTTGGTGCGTCCAGGGACTAAATCCCACCCTCAGATCTCCCCACCGCCGCTCCGTTCAACGGGAGGAGGGGTGCGAGGGTGGGATGAAACCCATACACAGATCTATTGGGGGGGAGGAGGGAAAAAAAAAATCCTCCTCGACATTTCACACGTACAGAGTTGTTGGGTACAGCCCTGACTTGTGGACTCAGCTTTGCTTTGCTTCTGTTTTAGCTGTTTCTCTGCTACCTTTTCAGCAGATTTCTTATTACACTGCACTGGATTGCTATATTTTTAACCAGAAATAAACTAAGGATTAGAGCATGTGCCAGTTAAATTCAGTTCTTTTCCTTACATGGTCTTATTCCCTCTTGTCGCATTTTTCTTCCTCTTTTTCTTCCTTTCCCTTTTCAGGCAGAGGGCTATGGGGGGACAGGGTAAATGATAACTGAAGGCAGAGAGATCCCAGTAACTTTTTTATTTCATTTTCCACAGTAGCTGTCCATCATCTTTGTACCTCTTCCTTTATTTCATTTTTTTATTTTTGGGTCCTTAGTCATCTTTTTTTACTCTGGAACAGTTGCTGCATACTTGAGATGAACCAAATCCCGACATGTTGTGATTGCAGCCCTAGGAACTCATCCGTGCGCTTTGTAATTCTGGTTGCAACTCTTTGTAAAAAGACTCTCGAGGAGGTGTTTTTTGTACATCCAAGTGCATGACACAAAGGTCCTGCCAGAAGGTTAAACATGCAAACACAGTGCAATATTTAGAGATACATAAACCAGCACCAAAATGCCTCTCATTATCCATCAAATAAAAGTACTAGTGATTTCACAAGTGACTTTTTCACACCGGTGACCGACTTGCTCCTGCCCACGTACCAGTTCCGTACAAACACCAATGCCACTTGGATTTTTCATCTCTTTGTTCCACGGGATAAAACCAAGGTTTGTTCAGCACGAAAGATAGCCAAAGACAAATATTAATAGGATCCCAAACCACATGTTTAAAAATAACAATTCCTTTATTAATCATGGGGAGCTGAGCAACTTACCTTAGTCCTGGGCTTTTCACGTTTGCCCAAGGCCAGAACTATTCTTGAGAAGCAGCCCTGAGACAGAGATAATTCAGTGTATCTGATGAGCCCTGGATTAATGCAGATCTACTTACAACACATTAAAGCTATGGGGAAAATGTCCTCCTTAGGGACACCCAGGTCCCCCAGGGACACCCGGGTCCCCCGGCCAGCCCGCACCTGTGCGAGCGAGGGGCTGGTTCGACAATGCATCCCTGGGGAAGGCAAGAAGGAAGGAATACAAAAATCCTCCGCCTGCTCGTGCCATGTCAGCTTCTCAGCAGCCCATCTGGCGTCTGGTTTGCTTGTACCCGAGACCCAGATTCTCTGAGAGCGTTGGGACTCTCCAGTGTCTGATCCTTCAGAGATGCCGGGCTGTTGTGGCATTTCTTTACCTTGTGAGGAGTTATGAAGCCTCAGCACTGCTAGAAACGAAAAAACAAAAAAAATCCAGACTGCAACAGCAGGGGAGGGGAGAGAGGAGAAATAATGTCATTTCGATGAGGAAGGGTTTAATTGAAACCCAAGGACTAATTAGATGTCCTGACAGGCTTGGGCAAGTTAAGGGAGGAAGGAAAAGTAGGAATTTTTTAAAACTGTCATAGGGTGAGGTTGGCTCGAGATTCGTGCTGAAGCAGAACACACCAGCGGCCAGCCTGGATCTCCTGTCCGTGCTGCACAGCTCGGCTGTGGGTAAGGAAGATGATCATTGCACACACTCCAGCTCATCCGATGCATCTACTTCCCTCACCCAACATTCTCGCTACCGGAGAAGGGAGAAGAAAGGTCTTTTCCTACAGCTGCAGCAGCACTGTACAAAACTATCCTTCATTCTTGTAACTGCTGCAACCCAGCTTCAGTTCAGGGAAAAATTATTTCAGGGTGTAGATCTGTATGTGAAAAGGCAAAAAATTATAAAGTACATGTGGCAAAAAGTGTGTTTTCCCCTGTCTGGCTTGGCCTTTGCAATGGAGTCCTACACACACAGGCGGTGATTTTAAACCCACTATTTTTCACAAATAAATATTCTTAAAACAAAATCTGCAAATGCAACTCGGTGGCAGAGTCCCCAAAACTTTGCACAGAAAGCTGTGAACCTCATACACACAAAGGATCAAATGTCAACAAGCTCAAGGTCCTATAAACTAAGCCAAGTGACAGGACAACAGGACAAGCGGTGCTGTTAGCCAAGCGAGCACTACGGGTTCCTTCCTTGGTTATCAATAAATGGTTTGTTTTCACCTCTTGCCTGTTGTTTTGCCTGGAAGGTACGCCCCTATCACACATGTTTTTATCTTGACAATTAAATCACACTGGCAGCCTGCTCTGTTTAATCTTTATGACATTATAATTAGCCTTGCAGAACCTCAAGCTGCTCTCCTGAGAGCTGGTTCCCTGGTGATGGCCCTGCCAAAGCAATACCCATGGCACGCCGGATTTCTCTGCACGAGGACAGGCAGTGCCTTCTGGTGTCAACTCAAGTCATCACTTGTTTGCTGCAACAGACACACATCCCATCTGTTGTCCCTATGGACCACAGCACTGCTCTGCTGGAAAGAAAGCGATGCCTTGAGAGGGGCTGAGTCAGGAAGCAGGGGTAAAAAAAAAATAATAATTGTTTGAGAGTGTTCAGCCCACTCCCTCAACACGCCATCAGGTTCCAAGGTAGGACATTTCACTGGTGAAAGAGTGCAATTGGAGGACAACTGCTTTCTTGGCCAACATGTGAGAAATGAGAGAATTGGGAGATTCTACAAGTGGCCAACATGAGAGAACTGGGAGATTCTACAAGTGAAGGCAAAACCTGCTACAGCTAACATGAAAAAGGAAGAGATTTCTACTGTTATATACATGACGGGTTGCAGCAGCTCTCACACAGGTAAGGTAGGAAAAGATTCCCAGGTTTCTCCAGGCAGCGCAGCCACATCTCAGGGCTGCTGGTGCATCTTATGACCACTACTTGTGTATTTCACAGCGGGAACAGCAATCCCTCTTCCACAGCAGGAGAAAAAGAAGTAGAAAAGCTAGGATGGGATTAATTGAGAAAACCAAGATGATGTAACCAAATAAGTTTATTGTAGAAACCCTTGGAGACATGTTCTGGCCCCAGTCAGGGTAGGGAATTTGGGACCAGCGAACCATTGTGATGTGCGGTTTGTCTTGACAGACTCAAAACAACTTTTGAACAAAAATATGACAGTATTACACATGCCAGCCTCAGCAGAACAAGTGCTTGGCCAGCAATCCTGTTCCTCAAGACCCTCTCGCAGCCTCCAGGGGAATAACAGCATACGCAGGGCATTCATCAAGTAGGCAGGAGACTGGTCAGCCCAGAGGCACTCGGAGCAGGGAAACGCTGGAGTGCCAGAATGTCTTCTGGACATGCTGACTGCCTGGCACATTAGGCTGAGTTTAGCGGAGCTAATCACTGCTCCCATCATGTTTTTTCACTCATGGAACAGCCTCAACAACATCTAGACTGAATCTTCATAGAAAGTCCTTGCCATGGCATGTGCCACTTTCACCACCTTCTTCTCCTTGGCGTCCGGGCCCATGTTGCTGCGGGCTAGTTTAATCCAGTACTGCTCCGTCCTGGACAGATAGTCTGCAGGCTTTTCATCGGGCTGAACACATGGGTGCTGCTCCTCTCCTAGTACACAACGGGAAGAAGACAGAAAGAGAGGTCACCAACAGCTAATGAAGGCAATCTGCTCTTCCATGTGTCAACCCAGCCAAGGCTACTCTTCAGCTGATGTGTTTAAATGCAATAGCCTAAAAACCTATGAGTAGCCAGAGAAATTTCTCCTCTACTCTGAGATCAGTGTTCTATGAAAACTTTGCTTTCACTGGAAAACTCACCTGGAAGGCAGTGAGGCCTTCCAGGCTGGCAGCAGAACCAGCACATACTGTACTAAAACCCACTTGATATCAGCATGATGACAACATTCATCTTAATCATTACCTCCCTCATCTTCGCTGTCCTCTTCTGAGCTCTCCTCTTCCTCTTCCCCTCCCTCTGCACCTTCTATATCATCATCCTCTTCATCCGACTCTGACTCCTCCAGCCATTCTTGTGCTTCTTTGATGAGAAAGGAAATAGAAGAAATGAATAACAAGCCATTTCCCACTCCTACAGCAAGGTCAGATGTGCTCCTTAAGAGCCCTGCTGTACCCACTGTCCTCGCAGATCCACCCGCTGTACAGGGCCTGGTGCTGATGGGGAGCAGTGGGGAGAGATGAAATAGAGTCGGAAAAAAGTGAACAGCACAGAACAGATGTGGAAGAAAAGCTGGTTAGTGCTGGTGCTGACAAGAGTCAGCTCTCCTCCCCAGCACTTCATAGCTCCATGATCATGAGCAAGACTCTCTCCTTTCTGCCCTTTTCCTGGTAACACAAATGCAGACTGTCAGCTTCCAGGGCAGGGGCACCCTCTTTTAATGTCTCTTTACAGCACCTCGCACACGACCTGGGCTGAATCACTCAGCCATGTTGCTCTGAGGTAGACCCACAGTTTCTTTCAATGATGAGCAGAAAATCCATCAAATCCATCTTCACTGAGGTCTCTCAGGGAATGCTTTCTGCAGCACCACTGAACACACTCATGAAATGACCATGTAAGCCAGGGATTCAGGGAACTGACTTCCATGCTTGCCACATCCCCTGAGCCAGCCTTCCCAGCTTGGGAACAGCCCAGCAGAGCAGTCAGAGCATGCAGCAAACATACTACACATTTAAGGTACAGAGAATGTTAGCTAATGCTCACATGCTCTGCAGTACCCAAGACCCTCACTGCCCTGAGAAGGAGAGGACAGGCAAGAGCACACATCCCTGTCTGCCCAGTGCACAAGCATGGCACAGCAGGACTTCCCACGCCAGAACTTGCCATCAGTGAACAAAGATGCTCTGTTTACAAGTCTTGGTTTTCAAAACAGACAGACCAGAGCTCACTCTCTACAGTGATCTCAAAGCTCTGGACCAGACAGGTTTCTGCAGCACCAGTGACCATAAGACACTACATAACACATACTCCCAAACTTTCTCCTGTCTAGAAAAAAAAAAACAAAACAAAAAACCCAAACCACTAAGCAGAGGCTCACCATCACCTCTTGCGGAAACTCCATAGTTGTTGGGTTTTTTCTTCCTAAAGTACAGCACCACTGGAAAGCATACCCTGAGGGTTGCTACACTAAAGGCAGAGAGAGAGATCCCACCACCAGAGCTCACCTGGATCCATCTCCACTAGCACTTTCCATTCTTCCATCTTATGTAGGTCAACGCTGTAGAGGTCACTGAGGGTGAACTGGCGATCGCCCACCTCAAACATTCCCCCGTACACATAGAGAACCCCATGCTTCACTGCCAGCATGGCATTCGAACGTGCGCATGGCTCCACTTGCTGGCCCAAGGCTCCATCTTCCTCTTCCTCCTCTGATTCAGGCCTCTCCTCTTCTGCAGGTCCAGAGATCACCTGCTTGATTGTCATGACAGTCCCATCTTCTGCCACCACCTCTTTGACTATCTCCATGGGGCCTTGTGGAGGTTGCTTCTCCACCTCCTCATCTCCAGCGCTCTCTGCCTCAGTTTGTCTGCCACGTCTTCGCTTCCTCTTCTCTGATTTTGGTCCCTGGTAATAGGAACAAGGAACAGGAGGAGACCGTGCGTGAATTGTGTGCACATACAGCAGTGAATACAAATACTATGGATGCTGCTGGGAGGGAAGGGGGAGAATTCAATTATTTTTCACTAGACTTGTAATTCTCAAATGATAAGTGCAACCTCCCACTCAGCATGAACTTCTCCCAGCCATAAAAACAGGAGCAACAAAACTCCTGGAGAATCAATGGCATGGAGTTGCTTCCTCTATTAATGGCAGCATGTGCTGAAGAAATGGCAAACAGCTCTTTTGCTCTCTATCATGCAGGTGCACGCCAACACACACAGAGTCCCCCAGCCTGTGACAGGAGCAAGAGGAAATAACACACTATTTTGTGAAACCAAAACAATTGCTGGGTGCTGAATTACAGTGCATTACCAGGAAGCACTCCAGGTCGTCGAAATACTGTATGAAAGGGCTGGAAAACAGTCAGCTAGGCAGGCAGACGTAAACACCTGAGTGCATGTTTGCCTGTTATTATGTGATTGACTTCTCCTTTTTGAGAACAAAGACAGAAACAGTGGGGGTGGAAAGAAGGAAGTTCAACCTGACCATCTGCACCTCACTTCCTCCTGAAGAGTAGTTCAAACAAAATCAAAGACCTGAGCTGGGGCCCACATTTCTGAAGTTCTTATGAGCCAAGGTTAAGGTTTCATCTCTTCGAGTAGTTCATCAACACTGGGGAAAAGAGGGCGACTTTTTGATCCCAATACAACACAAGATCTTTTCACAGCAGCTTGTACGGAGCTATCTCATGTCAGACTTACACATCTGACCTGGAGCTGGCCTCCAGTAAAACACCGTGACTAGGTTTTCATGCTGCTTTGTTTCATTTTGCTCTACACAACAACAGGGCACATGCAGCCTGACTCCTGGAGGAGGGGGATTGCCTCCTGAACCACCCTCACTTTGTGCCCAACCATCAGGGCTCCCAGGCTTCCTCTCTCCCCAGAAGGGTGACAGTCTGCATGCCATTGTGGAAGCAGGGCACAAAGAGCACAAGGAGCTATGTGGCAGGGGAAGAGACGGGG